TGAGTAATGATAAAGTCTGTGATTAATGACACCCCTTTTCAAATATGTTTCATCATTATCGATGTACCTTTATCAAAGCCCCCATTCCATCACTTCACTGCATCATTTCTGATTTCGTTGACCCAAGGACTCTCGCATCCTGGGGCTCATCACGCAAAGGGGAAATGCATAATTTCACAAACCTCGCCTAAGCAAAGCTGTTTAAATCAAGGTTATGGAGAAGCATTCAAAGTACATACCCACATGATACGACTAAACTCCGTGTAGAGGGTCAAACGAGGGTTGTAAAACGCAACAACTTCGTGAAGGGACAACCGGCCACCATCCTAGGCACGCGAATCGTATCACGAGTCCTGAGCGGTAGCTGGGCTCTTTCCCCCTCTCCCGTGCTGGCTGTAAGATCCTGGATGCCGGTGAGAGGCTGACGACTAGGAGCAGTCCTCTTTGCTTCCACGAGCGCCGCAGCACTTAATATAGGGTGGCTCTGGGTGTCCTCAGCTCCCGCCGCACCATTCAGAGACCCAACGACAGTGGCACCGTATTTTGCCGTGGCTATCATGGTACACAGTGCAGCTGGCACAATGACTTTTGGCATGTGCCATGACATGGTGCATCTCACAACGGAGAATAAAGGCATTTTTCGCCTTCCCAATCCTTGTTCTCGTTTGCGTATACCAAGGGGTATGGTTATTGCTTCTCCTTATCCACCCTCGAACCATTGTGGTGACTCACGGTTTACCTGCTGTGTGGTGCAAAAGTAATGCCGCTTCACTGGGGTGCGGCTGAGCGAGTATTGCATAACCTGCATTTGGCAGACCTCCTTTGGTTGGTTGTTCCCCTGAAAAAATAGCGCCAACCGTGTGCTGTACGAGCCCCACACGGTGTGTGTCATCGCGAAATTGAGGCCGCTGGGCAATGGCATTATGGTTCATCTGTGCATTAACTCAAAAACTATGCGTGCACGTGGTGGGTGTTTACCCCGCTTGAGGATTGTTTGCAACAACAGCAACGATGGCAGAACGAGGTAGTTATTTAAAATGACAATGTTGACATCCTTGATAGGGGCCTGTGCAACTGGTAGAGACCTCTCGACTGTTCGCGTTCCCCACAAAACCGCTGAAGCCGGTCTAGCCTGGCCAGGGAGTTTATCTAATCTCTTTCCAGTGGACAATATAGACCGCGGCAAGTCACACAACACGTTTTGAGCTCTACCGCTCAACACCAACGAACGAAAATGAAGAAAATGTTGCGTGAATCGGTTAGCTTTTCTATTTGAATACCTCTCTCCCAATAAAGGTTTGGTCCAAATGTGGGGCCGCAGTGCAACGATGTTGTCATCTACCGTATTGTGCTCTCTTTCCACAAATCTGATTCTAAGCTATCCGCTTCCAATAGAGAACAAAAAGACAATTAAGCAAAGTAACTAAGCAGGTAAATTTATTCCTGAAGGGAAAAGAAAGTGAAATCCATACAGA